AGCAGGAATTATGCTGCGCTCCAAGGAAAAGGATTGTACTTTCCAACTGCATGAAAGACTACTTGAGCTAAAAGGTTCTGCCTTTGTGGAAAGCAGTCTAGTGCATGTGTTGACTTGAGACTGGAAAACAGTCCTGTGAAAGTCAACCTGCCAACAGAGGATGGTCCTACACAATATAACACCTCATGTCCCTGAAGTTACTTTTACATATCTAACCATTACAGACTAAAATAAGTATAGCTTGATCTTTAGGAACTTGGATATCATCTGAACAGAAATGCATGTACATTGGGGGATGGAATGGTATTTAGGATCACAAGATTTGTTTTATCATGTTCATGCTGATGGACAATTTGATGGCTTTACACTGATCAACTGGGCAAGTACCTATTTTTCAGTACCACAGCTCAGGACGACCCTCAAGGTGTGTGTGTTCTACAGTTATGTCACTGATGCCACTTTTGCCACACTTAAATTTATGAGGAGACAAAAGTCTCTTGCCGAGATTTGCGTGTGCACTGCATTTAAATACGCTAGTCTTGCTAATCAGTGAAGGGGGAAGTGGTAGTGCGTCTATGCTGTATAGAGATAAAGAGGGGTTGTACATGTGTGTTGGGGATTGTCATAGCTTTCAGGTTTTAGTCTTAATCTCACTTAAATGTAATAAAAATGAGAAATATCAGGAACGTGGTCATATTCTAGTTTATGTAATAAGTTAAAATGTACTTTAATACAAACTTTTTAAAGGAGTTTACAGACCTTCTTCAAGCCTTATTTTTCTCCAGATAATATCTACTGTAACACCACGCAGTAAGCACCTACTAAGAATAATGACTTTGGTAGAAGGGATGACACTGAACTAATCAGACTTTGGATTTGATCCAACATCAATCCCTCTCTTCCTGTGCTTTTCTGAAAAGGCCTCTTTGGGGGGTTGAACTCTTTTCTTCCATCTGGAGAAGTGATAGCCGGGTGTTTTCAAGGGATAATTTTGTGGAAAAGGTCTTGATCAGATAAGGCTAACTTGCCAACTGTTTGGGGGAGGCTGCAAGGTGTTCTAGCTGACCTCTGGGCTTGGGTTCTCTATTTGCTCTATGGAGTCCTGCCCTGTAGGATCAGAGCAGTAGATTACCAAGGCTGAGCTGCAGGGAAGCACTTCATGGGAAAGACAAAACGCCTGTGTAAGACTGTGAAACTATGCAGGGTGCAGGTGCCCAGGCGCTGGCTGCAGGGGCAGCCCGACCCTGCACAGAGCACTGCTGGGCCCCGCAGCCACCATGGTGGGGCATTGGGCATGACATGTTTAAGAAAGGAGAGAATCTTCCCGAGAGAAGCAAACTGAAAGGGTTGACAAGCAATGCTGGGAACACCAGGGTCCACCGAGAACCCCCACTGGCATGGGGGAAGAGTGAAAAAGATGGAGCAGGACAGAGAAACCCTTGCGTACTGACTGTAAACAGCCACCACCTTGCTCTGCTTGATTGCCTCACTGAAGGGACTGAGTGTTACCTACAGTGATAATAAGCAGGGAGGAGAGGAGTTTGGAGTGAATAGCAGCCAGGGAGGAAAGCTGTTTTTCCTAAGTGTTTTAATGTTTCCTTCCTTTTGGTTTGTTTCTGTTTCCCAGTACCTGAGTCAGTAAATAAATATTTTGAGTAACTGACAGTAAGTTTTCTCAAGTTGAGTCTGTTTTGCCCACAGCAGTAGTTGTAAATGATCTCCCTATCTTTGACCCATGAGCATTCTCATTTCTATTCTTCCCATTTTTTCCCCACCCCATCTTTTGTACTGCTGGGGCAGGGGTGAGCGAGTATCTGGGGAGGAGCCTGGCTGCTAGCCACGGTCAACCCACCACAGAAACTAGAAGCAATTGTCTCTGTCCAGGGTTTAATCAGTCTTACCGGCAAGCAGAGGACCAAGATTCTCTGAACATGTGTTTTGGCCATGTCTCTAATGGAGGTGTGCCCAGGCATGCTTTGTGTTCAGGCGATCTGAAAGCTGTGCTAGTGTTATGTACCACTGTTCCAAGCTGCAGGTAGGGGAAAGTTGAAGGATACTGAAAAATGTCCATAAAACAAAATATACTGTGTCTACCTGAGGTGATGACAGACTGGGCAGTTGGCAATTTTGCATAGCTGGAACCTTTACCCTCAGCTCCTTCCTAAAAGATCTGATAGTTGTTTGCAATAGGATAGCAAGAGATAATATCGCTAGCCAAGCTGCTGACATACTTGCAGATGTAACCTTGGTAACAGTGTAGTTTAGATGCACTTCCCTACTCTGTGCATAAGGTGGATTTACATGCAGCGGAGCTCTTCCCGTGGGGAATGTTGTGGAGAAGAACATGAATAGGAGACAACTCGATTCAAAGTATTTGTTTTGCATTCTTGGTTTGCCTTTAAGAGTAATGGTGTTTTTTTTCTTTTTGTGGTTTTGTAAACATCCCTTGGATGCTCCCCCCCCCCCCCCCATAAAATAAAACTTCAGAAATGGCATTCATTACTTTTAACTAGTAGAAAGAAAGAGATCATTCTTGAATATCTCTGGTATCTGATTACTTTTGTTAGTCAAAAAACCCTTTTTATGTCACATTTTTATAAGCTCAACTATTTGCATTGCAGCAATGTTTATGACTTCATGACCAACATATCTCTTCTCAGCCCAAGGAGACTATGGCCCCAGGCTGGAAAAATCTAGGCTTAATGACTTAAGACTGGGAGATTTGTTGATGCACTGAGATTATACGGTTATGTGTATACTCTTTTTTAAAGATGTGATAACAGTTTGGTTTGACATACTTATACAGGATTAATAAAGACTGATGCTTTATTTATGGTTTGTAAACTACTTGAAGACGTATATGGAGCAAATAAATCTATCATTTGGGGACTCCCATTTTGAACAGGTCAACTTAAAAAAAATGGTTTGACTCATCACTCATTTATGTACTAAAAGTTCACATATTCTTCTTTTGGTAAGATTAGGTGTTACAGATAGTCCCCCAAATTCCATCATGTGTAACTCTTTTGTCCTCAGAACTTAATATCCCAATATTTCTACTCCTTTTATGATTAAAGCCTTTGAGTTAGGACTGCTGCAAATTGAGTTTAGTGTTTTCATGGTTATCTTTGTTTCATAAAACCTAAACATAAAGGCGGAAAAAAGGGGAGACTTGAAATTGTTCAGAAGGTAGTAACTCAAGAAACATTTATACATCCTTGTAATTGAAAACTATCACCAATTAGCACTTCATTGTTAATCAGCCTTGCGGGGGGGGATATCAATGCAAGTACTTCCATTTCGGTGATTTGGCATCATCTTCGTAGAAAGGATCTGTTGAAAAAGTTTTCCAAATTAATTTTAGTGGGTCTTCTACCAAATCACATAATTGCTTTTCATCTTTTGTATTACTTATTTCTTTTCCTTTATTACCCTTTAGAGTAAGCGTCATCAAATATCAGTTTGAAATTTTCTGACCTGTTCGAGAGAAACATAACACATAATGCGTTCTCAAAACAAAATTATTACATCCTGATGATGAAAACAACTGTGATGTAGCTTTTCAAAAGTGTCTTGAATGTTCTGAAATGTGCTTTATTATAGATGTCTAAGATGATCAGTCATGCAGAACTGTTTGAAGCATGCAAAGAGATGTCAGTGTATAGTTAAATTACATATTTGCATACAATGTATATGGCTAAATTATGTATTAGAAATATAGATCTCTAACAAGAATTATTTCTATCAGACACAACTGCATTTTAAAAGTTTATGTATTAGTCCAACTATAGCTGCAGCTTGTTAATAGACTCTGATTATCTGGGATCTTCTAGCAAGTTTATGGTGTAAAGAGGTTAATTGTGTTCTCCTGTCAAAGATGTTTTTACTGTGTATTAACAGTTCTGTCTGTGTTCTAAAGGGGCAAATTGCCCTCAAGAAGGGAAGGCTGGTGCCGTGTCTGTGCTGGCTTATGGTGCTGGCTGAGTGTAAAGAAACCACACTGAACCATCTAAAGCTACATTGCAGCTTCTGGAGACACCCTGAAGATCCTGGCCTTCTGGAAAGGCTTTTATCTCCCTGTGGTTGATCTCTGCTGTTGTCGCTGCTAAGCAAAAAAAATACAGTCTGCTATTTGGACTGGTTTCATGTAACTGGAGCAGAGATGTGTCTCTGTCATTCCTACACAGTTATTTCTTGTCTGGTGAACAAATGGAAAATTTATACTGCTACTCTTGCATGTATTTTTAAATTCCATTTAAAGGGGAAAGGAATCCTACAAAAACAGTCTACTGCCATCATCACAAATGGCTTCCTATGGAATGAAATAATTGGAAAGCTGACCCTTGGCACTCTTCCCCCCACAGAATAAAAAGCAGAGAAAAGATGAGGAGATGAGCCCTCTTGGGCAGGCATTGCTGAGGCTGTCAAGTGTGGCTTTCAAAGTCCCTTCATCTTTGGACCCTTCAGAACAGCATAGACTGTATTTAAAAGGTCTGCAAATGGACAAACCACAATTCTGTGACTCTCTTTGTATTATTTTTGTCACTTCGTAATCAGCTTGTGTCTCTCTATACGTCTTTTATGAAACAGTTCTTAAATAGCATCTGCTCATGCTGACTGGGGAAAAATGTGTGGTGTCTCTTAAAATACCACTGTAAGTGGAAGCTTCTTCTGAAGTTAGGGTAGAAGAGTTGTCTGACACAAGGAAAAAAAGGTGTTTCTGGTGGAAAGAACTAACCTGGAGAATGTGTTCTTTATTTGTAGTCGCTACAGAATTTAGTGCAATTTTGTTGGTCGTAGGATAATTTCAGTGTTCCACACCTGACTTTCTCTCACTTCGATTTCCTCTATAAGGATTTCCAAGACCACTTTCTATCATTGCCGTAGTTGGGGAAACATTTGAGGAAAATCTATACTGAGATCAATAGCCAGACACTTTGTTTCTTCTGTTTTGTAGGTAGTGACAATACCGTTCTGTCTCCACGGAGAATGTACACAGTGAATCTTCCTCCAGAGGGTTACGTTGCAGTTACTCCAGACACTATTAGTATTTCAGTTTCTGAAAACTCAGACAGTAGTGCTGACTCAACAGGTAAGTCTGTGTGGCTGCTACTATGATGAATTTTTCTCAAGAGAATCTTCTTAGCAAATCTTACCAAGTAGATCCAAATTGCAACAATTATTTAAACTGTTGCTGCCAGTGGGTGTCACTGTTTTGCAACATAAGCAAAATGAGCATGTACGTCCCTATGTGTTCATTTCCGTTTTGGAGCTTAAAGACCAGATTCAACATTTGGTTACGGCCGTACAGCACCACGGATCTTACTGAAGTTACATAAAGTTTAACTGAAGATAGTCTTCAGCTCCTCCCACTCAAGTGCCATGTGTATATTCATATTCTGCCTGCTTACAGTCATATTATTTTTAAGAGTAAATGTTAGATAAAGCTGTTCTAATAAGTCTTACTCCTGATGTTCTGAGGAATCGGGCAAAGATTTAACAACCTTTCAAATGTACCTCTCCCAATGAGAACAGACGTTCACCTGATTGGAGTTGATGGGGGGAGCGTTAAGAGGCTTTTTGATGAGGAACTGTGACCAGATAACTTCAGAACCAATACTTAGTGTTGTCAAAGGATACAAGAGAAGTAGTGCAGGATCTGTAAAGAAGTAGGCCCTAAGTTGACCTCAGTTAAAAGCATGGTTTTAGGAATGATGTTTCCAGAATTAAATTGATTTTTCTGTCTTAGGAAGAAGTCCTAAGCTTAGATAAGACAAATTTATTTGGGTTTTTTCAGTTGCTATGTTCCTGTGGATGTATTTTGTCCAAAATTGTGTATCATTGTCATTTTCTTCTACGGGCAGTCTACAGCAAAGAAAACACCAAAGTGAGCCTGCTGGACTAAAACACTTGATAAGCAGTGTTTATTAAACTACTCTATCTATTTCAGCCTCGAGACTGCCTAAATGTAAGGAAAACCTGAGATACAGCCTGCAGATATAGAAAGGCAAATGCTACTTGCCTTTGAAAATAGTACCCACAGGGGTGAATTTTTGGCTTGGAAATTGGGTCTGCCCTCTATTCTGAGCTCCATTCAGAGTCTGAATACAAGTGAAACTATCAAAGGCAGCCTGAGAGACTGAAGCAAAGTACAGTGTGACTGGTGCCGCATCAAAAATGTTCTTTCTTGCTATGAGAAAGTTTAAAGACCTTTTTTAGATTGAGGAAGAAGAAACTTTATCAGAGTAACATGACAGTAGATCTTGATACTGTTGGGATTATGGATAGGAGGGTAGATCCTAATGCACAGTTTCTAGATTCTGCTTTTCTCTTTGTTAGATAGGATTCATGTTTAGAATCCAGAGTCTGTTTCTAGACAACCCTTAAATTTGTTCAGTTACACAGTTCTCTTCAGACGTTTCATTTGGCTTCTGTTTCCCAGTATGTCAGATTCAAGCTGCTTGTTCTGGTATTGAAGCACCCTTTCCCTCCATGCCATATACTGTGTGTTTATTATTTGATGTGATCCCCTTTCAGATATTAGAGGGATGCTCCCCTTCTTCTGTATTTTGCTAATAAGACTAAATGAAGTCTCATAGTACTTTTGTAAGTAAATAGACCTATAGCATTCACTTTTGTTCAGGGACTTAAGTGACTTCTAAGTAAAACATTGGAATGCAGGCCTCTGAACACTTCTGCAACTGAGATGTCCTTATTAGGGTATCAACGCGGAACTTTTGTGGCAAGTTTACTCAGCTGCTGTTTAAAATTTCTGAATAAATCAATATGTGGTGCATATTAGATGTTGATATATTGCATAGCAGTAAAGTAGAAAAGAATTTAGTGTTGTGTTATATTGTCCCTTTTTAGGGTTATATAAGTATTTGTCTGGTTTTACAATTGATAGATTATTGAACAACGGCTTTACTTGCTCACTTTTTAGATTGAATCTTTTCCTCTAGTGTTTCGAAACAAACATACTCAACCATGATAGCAGTAAGTAGTGTTCTGATGTTGCTTAGTGACAGTATTGACTGTTGGATGGGGATCTCTTTTAGTTGATCCCAGTCTCAGTGTTCAGGAAGAGTAGGTTTTGGACTTCAGCCACTTTTTTAACGGTTCACAAATGCGTCTGGAATTTTGGGAGACTTATTTTTGGATTGGTTTGTTACTTGACTTTACAGTTTACCACAGCATCAAGAAAAATTAAGTTCAAAGTGATCTTTGGAGGTTTTTAATCTATGTTCTCTTTGCAAGGTAGATTTGACTATAAATGTCATTCTTGCCAGGTATTTGCCTAATCTGTTCTTAAAAACCTCCACGTAGGGAGATTTTTCTTGCATGCCCTTTCCCGTATGCTCTAGTGTCTCACTACCCTTTAATGCTAGATCTTTCTTGCTGCAGCTGAAGGCTTTTATTTGTTCTGTATAAATACAGATTGCAGAATTAGAGATCTGTGCTAATCCTGGAAGGCTGAGGGACATGGCTAACTTTACTCATGTGTGTTTTTTAGTATTTAATTTAAGTATATCCATAAAGTCTGTTGCAGGATGAAGGAGATGATTTCAGGCAGTGCTCATAAAATGCGAAAGGAGCGGTTTAGACAATCACATCATGGATTGCTCAGTTTGCTTGCCTAGATTTAGTTGTATATCCTTTATTTAGATCCTTTTTTGAAGGATATAGGAAAGCTCCAATGAGAGCCTTTGACACTGAAGAAAAAAGAGGGAGCATGCATTTCTGTGTATATGAACATTCTATATATAAAATAAACTTGTTTTTTTAGAAGTGCCTCAGGTATTCCCGAAGAACCAGCTCCATAAAGCAGAAATGCAGATATAGTGTTTGCATTGTTTTACTCCTAATACCATCAGTATGATATTTCTTGAAGGGCCATAGGCTGTCTTCCGCTGCATTTTGTAAGAAACGGGGCATGTTGTATATATGCCAAGTAATGAAAGGCTGACTTGCTAGCCTTTTCTGGCTATTGGATCTAGAAGTAAGGGAAATAAATTCTGTGAAAATTCAAACAGAAGCCTGACTCAGAAAATAATTTTGTTGTTTATCAAACCTGTCACATGAAAACAATCTGACCGTATTTTGGGATGAAAATTTTTTTGTTATAACTTACTTATATATCAGTGTGATTTGCTATGTCTTTTCAGTAAATTAAGAAAACCAAATCTGTGTGTGTCTGAATTAAAATAACGAGATTATCAAGTGGAGTAGGTACGCCACGGCTGATATTTCATTGTGTTAAATTTGTCTGTGTAAGAATGAAACAGTCAGTCACTAGAATATGAATCTGGACATCAGCTGTTTTTGAGAAGTTATTTAAAAGTTGAAGTTAATTACAATTATAAATTTAAATAATTTCTTGTCAGATCTAAAGTATGTTTGAGTTTGTCCATTATTATTCTTCTTTAAACTAGTAGTTACATTGTGGTTGATATTGTCAGAATGAAACAAATCTTGTCCAGACTAGCTTCTGAACAACAACAAAAAAAAGCAAAGCTGGTCTGTGTGAATATTTCAGTATGTGTTTCTCCATCTGTCTCTGCATGTTTTTAGCACTTCAAATAATTTTTCAAATACTTTAAAATACTCTTCTCGGTTGTGTCAATGAAATTGTTACCAGTTATGCCCTTAACATTATGCAGTCACCTTGTGAAGCATGCATAAATGACTAATGGCTTTGGGATTTAAGGTCTGGTGAAGTGGCTTGGCTTTCTTATGTAATTCTTTTAAACATTTCCCAGAAGTAAGGGGGGGAAATAAAACTGCTCTTTCAGGTTTGTTTTCTTGATGTAAGCGGGAGATTGATGAACCTGGAGTAATGAGAACAAAAATCTAAGACTGCCTTGTCTTTCCAGAAAATAATGAAAACTAAATTTATCCAACATTCTTAGCATAATAAATTAGAGTTCTAATCTAATTCTTTAAAACTCCCTTGACTGTTTCGGAGGAATTGAGTCACTATGACAGTGTGATCATGTCAGCCTTTTGTTGACTAAATTGAGTAACAGGAATTAGACAGTCAAGGGAGGAAATAATGCTGAGAATTTCGTCTGTTTTTACATGATGTTTGTGTTGACTTTGATACATGTTAATGCATCTCTAACTTTCTCTTAGCAACAGACTTTGTACTTTTGACAAGGGCGTTAAAAATGTGTAATGTCCAAGCAGCAAATAAGGTATCATCCATCAAATTCTGGTCATAAACTCAATATCCTCGTAGCTTAAAGCTCTTACATCAGAGATGAAAATTAAATTAGTTTTATTCTCTGAGAAATATTTTGTTGGGATTAGTCACTTGAGAGATACACCATAATGTTTAAAAGGGCGTTCTGTATGAAAGGACAATCCACCAAACTTCTAACTGTGTTCCTTAATTTACTAGGAAGCGATAAGTTTTGATTAGGTTTGAATTTTAATTTCATAAGATGAAGTTTAATTTGTGGAGTTCTTGCTGCTTATTTTAAGACAGGTGAAACAATAGGAAATAGTCTCTTACATTAAAATATAAATGCTAAAAATGTAACCTTATTCATTCTAAAAGATAAACTTTGATTTTATTTCTCCAGCAATATTTCTTGGATACTCTAATTTAAGCTATGAAAATAGAATATAACATATAAAATTACTTTATTTGTGCACAAAAGTGTGCTGGATTGTGATTTCTCTCTGAAGTGCTTTTATATTAAATGCATATATTTATGTAGAGTTGCAAAGTGGTTTCTGGTGTTTATTAGACTCATGGCAGAGAAAATTTCTTACCCAGAGACTGTGGAAAATAAAAAGACTGTGCAGTAGGAGTTCAGAAATACACAGTAGTTGAGGGCACCTGGAAGAACAGGTAAAGAGAATTCAAAGAAAAGTGTTCTTAGGGTATTTTTTTATTTTTAATTTCATAAACCATTAATTTTGTTCTTGTGACACAAAAATATGAAGGAAAAATGAGTGAGACTTCACAATGCGGTATTCATCTGATAATATTCTGTTGTTGCTATCGTGATAACAACCTTCCCAGTTTTGGTGAAACCCTTTATATAGACAGAAGGAGCAAGACCTAACTGTGCTTTAACCTACCTC